TTTTTATTTGATCCAATAGTTTTAAACTGTTTTAGCTAAGATTTTAATAGCATTCAAAAATTGCTACCTCTAAAATTAAACTGCTGTGTACATATAAGGAAAAAGTAAGTATTTATTGCTTTACATGGAATATACCCACCCATAAACAATAAGCTTCTAGCATCAGGTTCAAGCAACTTCAAAATACTGACAGCACAAATACTCATCATATGCTGTGGTTTCCTTTCATGGTGTCCGAGTAGGTTAAATTCTGCTTCTTGGTGATTTGGGGATCAAAATTCGCAATTTCACATAGTTCAGTCATGAAAACTTGTCAATAAGGTTTAGACATTTTGCAAGGGGATATAAGTTGTCAGCAGTTCTGCCTTATTTCCATACATAAATCATAGTCTTATGCCTGCAGTGCGCTGATAGTGTTACTTCGAATACCAATGACAAAACTATCTATTGATACAAGGTACTTCTTGTGTAATCAATGGTCTTTAAAAGAACCCCATATTAAGCAGGCTGATGTTAAATATTTTCCTTTTTTTCATTCATTCACAGGATGAGGGCATTGCTGGCTAGGCCAGCATTTATTGTCCATCCCTAATTGCCCAGAGGGCAGTTATGAGTCAACCACATTACTGTGGGTGTGGAGTCACATATAGGCCAGACCAGATAAGGATGGCAGTTTCCTTCCCTAGAGGACATTAGTGAACCAGATGGGTTTTTCTGACAATCGGCAATGGATTCATTGTCATCATTAGACTCTTAATTTCAGATATTTACTGAATTCAACTTCCGCCATCTGCCACGGCAGGATTTGAAACCGTGTCCCGAGAACATTACCTGGGTCTCTAGATTAACAGTCCAAGCAATAATATCACTAGGCCATTGCCTAGACCGTGGTCTTTGTAAAGTCAGGAAGAACATGACTGCTCAGATCTGTGGAATGGCAAACTGTCTATGAGTGCTGCTTTAGTTTGAGTGCTCTAATCTTAAAAATCACTGGAACCTTGAATCAGGGTACAAACATAAACTTAATTCAGTGTAACTAGTTCAGTAGATAAAGGAGAATCAGTGAATGTAGTAGACTTGAATTTCAGAAAAGCTAATAAGCAACACAAGGGCTCACGGTCAGGGAAGTAATATATTCAGCCTAGACAGAAGTAGTGTTATGGGCAGGAAGCAAAATGAGTGGGGCATTTTCAAGTTCACAGGCCTCAAGGATCAGCATTGGCATCTCAGTCATTTAGAATCTATATTGATGACTCAGCCAAAGAAAGAGAAAGACGTGTCTAAGTTTGCTGATGACGCAAAATAGGTGGAAGTGCACACTAGCAGGAGGTCAAGCTGCAGATATAGGCAGGCTAAGTGAGTGGCAACAAGATGGCTGATAGAATATAACGTAAAGAAGTTTGAAGTTGGTCATTTTAGTCACTTTAAGAAAAGAAAAACAGACTCATTTTTTAAAAAGGGTGAAATCTGTGAGTGTTAATATTCAGAGAAATTTGGGTATGCTTGAACAAGGAACACAGAACACTAGCATGCAGATGCAGCAAGAAATTCAGAAAGCAAATGACATGTCTGCCTTTATTGCAAGGGAATAGAATCACAGAATCCCTGTGGTGCAGAAATAGGGCCATTCAGCCAATCAAGTCTGCACTGACACTCCAAAGAGCATCCCAACCAGACCCAGGCCTCTATTCTATCCCTGTAACCATGCATTTACCATGACTGCTCCACCTAGCCTACACATCCCTTGAAACTACGGACACTGTAGTATGGCCAATGCACCTAAACTAATGGGAGTACAAGGATTAAAAAGGTCTTGTTACAATTGTTCAGGGTAATGGTGAGACCACACTTGGAATACTGGGCAGAATTTACTCCAGGAGACAGGGGTCTTATTTGTTCACTGAGGCCTTCTTTGGAGAAGGCCTGCTCCATCAAATGCCAGTCAGCCCTTTCTCAGGTGGCCGATGGACCTTTCTTGAAAGAAGGATCCCAGGAATGGGAATATAAACTACCTCCCTCCACCAAGAAGCTGCCAGCCATTTTGACGCTGGGAGCTGTCAGTATTACCACTACAGCAGTGATAGCTGCTGGTAATGCACCCATGAGAGGCCCAGGAACAGTGAGTGAGGGTGGGATGTGTGGGCTGGAGTCATGGGTAGTTTATGGCTGGGAAAGGAAGGAGAGGTTAGATGAAGAGCAGGAGGATGGTCCTACCCCTGTCATGATGCCAGGTTCCTGGATCAAGAATTGGTGCCTTCGCCCAAGACACCCATTCCCCCAAATCCTGGGGACCTGCGAGCAAACTCAACAGGCTTTTCTTTGCAGGTTTCCTACAAGGCGAGTGCCCTATCCACCACTGATTGAGAGATGCAGTGGCAGGATAAGGCTTTCAAGTGGGTCCCACCTGGCACACTCTAGTCTCATTAAATGCTTCCCTGCATCAAATTTTCCTCTGGAAAGGCAATGTTAGATTCTGGCCACTGTGCCCAGCCTTTGTCTCCATACTTAAGGAACAATATAATTGCATTGGAGGCAATATAACAAAGTTTCACTAGATTGGTCACTAGAACAAGAACATTGTCTTATGATGAGATGCTGTGTAAAATGTGCCTACATTTGCTGGAGTTTATAGGAATTCCAAAGTGGATTCTGAAGGGGACTAACACAGGTCAATTCTACTGAATGAGAATATAAACCATGGAGTCTCATGATAAGTGACAGATTATTCAGAACTGAGATGAAGACAGATTTATCCACTTGAACGTGAGTTGTGAATTGGTGGAATTGGAAAATTGGAATTCTGGCCCCGACAAGATTTGAGATTTTCTGAAGTTGATTCAACTTAAGACTGGTGTAGACAGACTTTGGTTTCTTTGTGAAAACTTTAAAGACTTTGGTTTCTCAGAAAATTAACAGACATAGGGAACGGGCTGGGAAGTGGAGTTGAAACCAAAGATCAGCCATCTTCAGAGTAAATGGCAGACGAGGCTTCATGGAGGTATGGTCAACTCTTGTTGCTGTATCTTCTTGTGGGCGGTTAATAGATCAAATCACTGACTGCTGCCCAACAGACTGGTCATGGGAAAAGGGCCCTTGTCTCAACTTTCATCTAAAACTTTAAGAAGGATTGTGATGTTGTGGGTACTACAATGGCATGTACAGATTCTTACAGAAAGTGAGAAACAGTTATGAAACAACTTTTATTGACATTTTAAATAAGATTCATCCCAGGGGTAAAAGGTTTGGAATCAATTCTTTTGTTCCACACACCATTTGCAGATCAAGCTAATTGACTAGCAATGAACTTGCTTTCCAGAGGGAGCCAATGTCACTCTTTAGCCAATCTACAGAACATGTGATTTTTAAAAAATTATTTGTAATCCAGTAACACTCTGAAGTTTTGCTTTCCTTCAAGAAAGTACTTCACCTCAGGTAAAATCATTCATCCACCACGTAGAAATTTGCCAATGTTATTCTAACTTTTGAAGCAGTAGCACACTGCAGATATCAGCTCAAATCTAACTCTAATAGTGAACATTTTAAGTTTCTTCATTATTTTCATTGGAGGTTCCCCAGGTATACTGTCTGAGCTTGTTTAAAAAAAAAGTTAACGCAGGTTTAATACCGAAAAGGTTGATAGGAAAGAAAAAGCAAAATCAAAATAGTTCTTGTGATGGAGAAGATTAATGTCATGGTGTGTTAGGTTTTATTGGTAGAGGGATTGAGTTTCGGAGCCGTGAGGTCATGTTGCAGCTGTACAAAACTCTGGTGCGGCCGCACTTGGAGTATTGCATACAGTTCTGGTCACCACATTATAGGAAGGGTGTGGAAGCATTGGAAAGGGTGCAGAGGAGATTTACTAGGATGTTGCCTGGTATGGAGGGAAGGTCTTATGAGGAAAGGCTGAGGGACATGAGGCTGTTTTCGTTAGAGAGAAGAAGGTTAAGAGGTGACTTAATAGAGACATACAAGATGATCAGAGGATTAGATAGGGTGGACAGTGGGAGCCTTTTTCCTCGGATGGTGGTGGCTAGCACGAGGGGACATAGCTTTAAATTGAGGGAAGATAGATATAGGACAGATGTCAGAGATAGGTTCTTTACTCAGAGAGTAGTAAGGGCGTGGAATGCCCTGCCTGCAAAAGTAGTAGACTCGCCAACTTTAAGGGCATTTAAATGGTCATTGGATAAACATATGGATGATAATGGAATAGTTTAGGTTAGATGGGCTTCAGATTGGTTTCACAGGTCGGCGCAACATCGAGGGCCGAAGGGCCTGTACTGCGCTGTAATGTTCTATGTTTTATGTCATAGGAGAGGAGAGAAAATGCCAGAGATATGAAGAGAAGTTGACATGCAGAACAAATAAGTATCCAACACAGCATTTTCTCCCTGTTCTCTAGTTGAATATATTGGAGATAGTGACTGCCACAATAACCCATATCGATAGACAGCCTTTCATGCTAATTACGTACCGTTCAAGAACTTGACACTTCAATGTTTCAGCTTTAGTCACATAGAGGCATGAGTACATACAATTAAGACATGACTGGCTCTCTGCAGAGACTGATTCACCATGTGGGTATTTCAGAAGGTTAATGTACAGATTTTCAGGACCTTAACAGATAGATTCCCTGTGAAATAATCTGTGAACAATGGATTTTGCTATATAATTATATATATATATCTTTTAAACAGTGCTTCTTGTGGCCTATTCTGAGTCACATATGGTGCATTAACGCCATCCTTCAATGACATCAGTAACAATCACCTGCTTCACATGGTGCATGATTTAACTATGGTGCAATATGCTTGGTGGGGTGACGAGAAGAAGACAAACAGCATATATGCCAAATAATACAGCTTTCACATCCTACACAGATGATGCTGAACAATTTCAAGAGCTCTTAATTGAGTCAACTGTATTCATACTGTGCTCATACACTGCTCAGAAATCAATGCCTCACTTGCATAGGGTTGCGTTAATAACAAAACACATACCTCTCTCTTTTATTTCCAGGAAAGTGCTCTGCAATCTGTGGGAACAAATAGAGAAAGTAATATTAATATATTATCTATGTTAAAAAAAACTACATGCATATATTTCAAAATCCACCTTCATTCTATCTGAGTGCAAAATGGTCATGCTGTTGAATGCATTTCTCCTATATGTTCCCTAATCTGGAAAGAATTGGGAAAGGCAATCCAGGACATTTTTACATATCTCTTAGTGATCACTCAAAACCAACATTTGGAAAGGCAAATGAAAACATAAATTGTTGCTGTATATTGGCAGTAGATTCTACTGTTAAATCACTATTTAATTCTTTTCACTGTTTATTACTGTAGAAATGAATTAAAATAACTATTGGGAAAAAACCCCTTAGATTAGCATATAATGAACAAGAGTCTATTTACCAATTATTACAGGCATATAGACCAATCTATTTCCAATGTTGTTGCTTAGCTAAAGATTGTTCACTATGATAGCCTCTAAAATTGATCCCTCTGCATGGAACAAGGAAAGAAAATTGACAGGACATGTCTCCATTAAACATGCCTCCTATTCTCTGGTGTAGAATGGCACCGTCTCTAACTGAAGAGAAGGCCCAGCAAGAGTGATAATCCAATCTGGCTGATGTAGGACAGCATAGAAGCAATTGAAGATAATTAAAAAAAAACAGAAAGGAAAAGGTAAAAGGAAAAGTAAAATAAAATCCTTCAGCAGATTGTGTAATAACAAGCCCTCAGCACTACAACTCATTTATTTTCAATGTGGAAATAAATGTACTATAGTTAGAGTGTAAATATACTGCACTGTAAAATGCATCATTCTTCCATTTGCTGAGGGTAAGATGTGGTACTGTCTGCCCACTGACAGTGTCACTCAAACTTATTATTTGACAAATTGGGGATACGGGAATCCATTTGAAGCTAGGAGCAACTGTGGATTATCTGCTACAAGATCTGTAATTCCATAGGGTGTGCTGGGTACAAAACTATAATAAGAGGATAGTTTCTCTCCGTAGTTTAAAGTATAACTTGCTGACAAAAAGAAAATAACGCTTACTCAATAGAGTTCTTATTCATTTGTAGCAGTTAGGATTGTGATGTCCCGTGCTTGCCTAGATGAGTGCAGCTACAACAACGCTCAAGCAGCTTGATAACATCCAGGACAATTCAGCCTGCTTGATTGGTATCACATCCATCCTTTCATTCCCTCCACCACTGATATTCAGTAGCAGCAGTACACCATTGACAAAACTCACTGCAGAAATTCACCAAAGATTGTTGGACAGCAACTTCCAAATCCACTGTCATTACATCTAGAAGGACAAGGGCAGCAGATATTTGTGAACACCATCACCTGCAAGTTCCCCTCAAAGCCACTCACCTATCCTGCCTTGGAAACATATCATCCTTCCTTCACTGTTGCTGTGTCAGAATACTGGAATTCTCTCCCTAATGGCATTGTGGGTCTATGTACAACATATAGTCTGCAGCGGTTTAAGAAAGCAGTTCAGCACCACTTTCTCAAGCCCAATTAGAAATAGGCAATAAATGCTGGTCCAGCCAGTGATACCCACAATCCATTAATGAATAACAAAAAAAAACTTAACAGCAATGCCTACCAGTCAGGTTCATACTAAATGTCCAGTCATTGAACAATAGAACATGTTTCAAAAGAACTATCTTAGCTGCAATCAGGGTGCATGATCCTTTAAAGAACCCTAATGCAGGAGCCATCATTGAGCTTCATGTGTTTTTTTTTCATGAGACTTGAGTAAACAACTAAGAGACTGCCTGCATTTCTGTTGGCCAATTTTGGACCTCGGCATCACAGCAACTGATTGGGCTGTGGGCAACATCACCGCTGGGTTGAAGAATGACCATAAGACATAGGAGCAAACTTAAGCATTCAGCCATTGTGTCAACTTCGCCATTCAATGAGAGCGTAACTGATCTGATAATCCTAAACTCCACATTCCTGCCTTTTCCCCACAAGCCTTGACTGCTTTACTGATTAAAAATCTATTGCAGCCTTGAATAGACTTAATGACCAGCCTCAACAGCCTGTATGCTATTCAGTTCCACAGATTCACAACCCTCTAAGAGATCAAATTACTCCTCATCTCTGTCTTAAATGTACGAGTCCTTATTCTGAGATTATGCTCTCTGGTCCTAGACGCTCCCACAAGAGAAAACAACCTTTCCATACCATCCTATCAAGTCTTCTAAGCATCTTGTATGTTTCAAAAGAGTTACCTCTCATTTTTCTGTATTCCAGCAGGTACAGGTCCAATCTCCACAATTCCTCCTCAAAGGGCAGTCCACTCAAACCTGGTTTCAGCCTAGTGAACTTTCTTTGGACTGAGCCAGTATGTCTTTCCTTAGATAGGAGGCTCAAAACTATTTGCAGTGTTCCAGCTGTAGTCTACGTAGTGCATTGTATAATTTTAACAAAATCTTCCTACTTCTATACTCGATTCCCTTTGAAACAAATGCCAAATCCATTTGCTGTCCCCATTAGCTGCTGAACTTATAGAACTCCCAAATCCCAAATTCGTAGCTTTCCACGGTCTTTCTCCATTCAAATGATATTCAACTTGTCTACACTTCCTGTCAAAGTGCATAACCTTCCATTATATTCCGTTTGCCAAATTTATGCCCACTGTCTATGTCCCTCTGCAGATGCCTTATATCATCCTCACCACTCAACTTCACACCTTCTTTTGTGTTATCCACAAACCTAGTTATAGTACATGTTCAGTGAGCAGACAGCAGTACATCTTACCCTCAGCAAATGGAAGTATGCAATCAAAACTTTGCAAATTTCTCATTTGGTATTCTGTGTTCTAATTTGTTGTTTGTCCAGGTGTAGCATTACCTCTGCTTCTTATCCAACATTTGCCACATTGATATTTTTCAAAATTAAATCCAAAAGAACTGTGGATGCTGTAAAAGCTCAGCAGGTCTGGCAGCATGTGGGCAGCATGGTGGCTCAGTGGTTAGCACTGCTGTCTCACAGCGCCAGGGACCTGGGTTCGATTCCACTCTTGGGCGACTGTCTGTGTGGACTTTGCACATTCTCACTGTATCTGTGTGGGTTTCCTCCAGGTTCTCCGGTTTCCTCCCACAGTCCAAAGATGTGCAGGCTAGGTGGATTGGCCATGCTAAAATTGCCCATATTGTTCAGGGTTGCCTAGATTAGGGGGATGGGTCTGAACAGGATGCTCTGAGGGTTAGTGTGGACTTGTTGGGCTGAAGGGCCTGTTTCTGCACTGTAGGGGTTCTATGATCTGTGAAGAGAAATGAAAGTTAATGTTTTAGGTCCGGTGACCCTTCCTGCTGTTCTGAGCTTTTACAGCAAGTTCTTATATTTTTCAACCCTGATTAACTTATACGCATCTCATAAAATCCTAAACAATTATTTCTATCAAATACTTTTAAATTCCCATTGAACTGGAATCTCACATTCTTATATAATGTACCATTGATGATTGCACCCATTTGGTGATCTTATCTTTCACTGAAAATCTGAATGTAGTTTTTGTTTTATGAGATATTGACACACTTGAAAAATAAATCTTGTTGACTATAATGCATGTTACAGTGCAATATATTTACACTCGAACTAAATACAGTATATTTATTTCTCAGTTTTCAGAGTCTCTGGAACAGACTTTACTGCTAGTGCTGGATTTCAATGATCCTTCTTCCCCTGGTCATGGCAGGGCATATCTCTTGGAATCTATAAGAAACTGCAGGATGTATCTCTTTGATGAGGGAATGTCTCTCCTACATCCAAGTATGGTGGCTCAAAAACCAAAACATTCTATTCTCCTCTGCTGGCCAGAAAACTTGAGCTGCTTGTCAGTAATATTCATTAAGTTGGAGGGAAGCCTGTAACCTGATCTCAAAAAAATTGCTTCCTTTGCCCACTTTTCCTCCCATGGTAGCATGAAACCCTTTGTATCCAGGTATAAGTGATAATTTCTTGATACCAGCTCCCTTTCATCTTGGAAATAAATGGATGGCTTACATCACAACCGTTTACAACTTGACACCTACCATACTTTCCTTGGAATCTGGTAGGCTTGAAGTCTGCTCATTGTAAACTCAGAAGCTGCTTCCACTGGCACCAAGCATAAATACCTTGGACTGTCTCAGTTTAATAATCAAAACTTTTCTTTGATCCCTGACAATCAAACCACTAAGGATTACAGTCAGGCAGACTGCTGAATAGGTAATTTATCCAAAATTTATACCTAGAGTTCCAATTTATAATCTTTTAAATCTAATCATTATAATAGATTTGAGACAAATATCTCTCTTCTTTGAAACTCTTCTCCATAGAAACCGCCATCAGGCTTGCTGATTATTTCAGCACTTTCTATTTTTGTATCTGATTTCCAGCATCTGCAGGATGTTACTAGGAGGAGGAACTGTTCATTTAGTATTGAGCTTCGAATAGGATAATTTATCAAGAGTGCAAGTCACCAGTAGCTATGTGAAACTCAAGGCTGTGCTTTTCAATGTTGTGGCAAGGGCAACGTGTAAATGATAAATTGGAAAACACAGTAACTAACAGTAGGCCAACTGGCCCTTCGAGCTTGCTTCATGTTCAATATGATCATGGCTGATCCTGTATCTCAATGCCTTACTCTTTCTTTTTCCCCGTATCCCTGGAGCCTTTAAAATCTAAAAATGTATCTCTTTCTTGAATATATTCAGTGACTTCGACCCTTGAGTAGAGAATTTCACAGGTTCACTACACTCTGAATGAAGAAATGTTCAAGAAATCTACCCCGTATCCTGAGACTGTGACTCCTGTTTCCAGACCAATACAAGCAATTGTGTGTCATGCATTAAGAATCACAAAATGCTGGTGTTGTGGTGGGTAGGAGATATCATATGTAGTCACTGATCTTAATCACCTTTTTGAGGTCATTAAACATGGCATTGCTGCTAGATTCTTGGTCTCAGAACTCCAGGAGTTCTCCTTCCCGGCCACCTGCTCTCAACAGTTTCCTGA